AGTTAATAACCCAGTTATTAAGTGAATCACTGCAGTTTTAAGTTAATAACCCAGTTATTAAGTGAATCTGGCTTCTCCATTGACTTTGCTTGTCAGAAGATCCCGTGTCTTTGGGACACAGCAACGGTCATAAATACGAGCCATTGGCCAAGTGTCTGAACTTTGATCTTGCAAAAGTCAGAGTTATGAAAAACAATCATAAGCTATTTTTTTCTGTTGTAACTTTGAATGGATGGTTGTAAATCAAGGATTACCCATATTGTGAGGTGTTTTGAAAATTGAAAGAAAGGGAATAGAGAGTTTTAAAATACCATGTTTTTCAGAGTATAAGACACACCTTTTGTCCCCCAAAAAGAGGGTGAAAATCTAGGTGCATCTTATATACTGAATACAGCATTGTTGGCCTCCCAAAACCTCTCCCCCTTAACAAAAATGGATATGCAGAGGGTTTGGGAGCCTTGCAGAGTGCTCTTGGGGGCTGGGGAGGGCAAAAACAAGGAAAAATGGGCCCTTTGTTGCTCATTTTCCCCCCAGCCCCCAGGAGCACTCTACAAGCCTCCTAAGGGCTATGCATGCTCTTTTTTTTTGGCAAAAAACGGGCATGTGTTTGTGAAAAACAGACCATTTTTGCCCCCCCCCCCAGCCCCCAGGAGCACTTTGCAGGCCTCTCAAACTCTCTGCATGCTCCATTTTTCACAAAAGAAATAAGGCGTGCAAAGGATTTGGGAGTTCTGCAAAGTGCTCCTGGGGGCTGGGGGTGGGGGGGCAACCCCCCTCTTTTTTTTAAAAAAAATTACCTCTTCAAAATCTTGGTGTGTTTTATATTCCGGTGCATCTTATAGTCCAAAAAATATGGTAGTTCCCAGAAGGAAATCTAGAGAGGCCCTTACCTGGTGGCGATCCAGAGCAATGGCGGCAAAGGTCAGTGCGGACATGTGGATGGAGCAATACTGGACAAAGCGACTTATATGGCACATTGGCTTTCCAAAAACCCAGGTACTGCTGACAAATCGCACCTAGAAGAGAAAGGTAGGCTGAGCCTAGAGTCAGGTCTAGGGGCAGGCTTCTCTTGGGCTTGTCCCACATCTCTCCTGCAGCAGAAGCCAGGCAGTGGACACACTTTCCCCTAATGGTACAGCAGCCTTCCCTCTAACCTTTTTGGCTTTGCGGACCAGCAGGGGGCTGGGGGGGAGGAAAAAGGGTGGTTTCATGCGAGCAGCAGGTTCACACGTCCCATTTGCACATGTGGCAGGCATGCGCATCAGCTGCTCGTCCCCTGCCACTCGGGCAAATGGAGCTGCGCACAAATGTACACTCACCCACTTCTCACACAAGTGCAGCTGTGTGCACAGGTGTGATGCCCACTGCTTCTGTGAGCGGCTCCAAACGAGCCACAGCCCAGTACTGGGGCATGCATGGTCCAGGGGTGGGGGACCTCTGTGTTAAAAGTCTTCTCACAATAGACTTATTGGGTACATTAGGCTGGGAGAGAACAGCTGAACAACTGAACTCAACTGATCGCTGAATTAACTGGGCTCTGTTAAATGGGTAGCTTGTAATGCAACAGATTGAGAGAAACCCACCCACTCATGAATTGATTGAACTTTTGAACACGGACTGATCCCAGGTGCCATGGCTCAGACTTTGGTGAAGAATGCATTGCCTGTGTTCAGAGCAAGTTGTTTTGCGCATCTGGGTGTTGGGAAGAGGTGGGTTGCTGCTGGTTTGGCCTGATTCGGCTAAATTAGTAGTAGAATTCAGGCCTGGGCCGCTGCCAGTTCTCCAGCCCAGGCACGCCCCCAAACTGGTTCTTCAGTGTCTTCTACCAATGCCAGCATGGTTCTGCACTTGCACAGAGCAATTTTTAGTTAAATGCGCATGCACAAGCAATGCACGGCTGGTGCATGTGCAAAGTGTGCACACAGTGAACCACAGTAACTGGCTCAGGAACTCACCCCCGGTGTTGGGTGTGAACCCAACCAACCAGATTTCATAGGCTGTTGTTACAGCTATTCAAGCAAACAAACCCAAACATCTCTAGAAAGAAAGGCTCCTCACATCTTTAGGATGCCATGTTAACTTGCAGTGCTCAGGCGGGACCAGGAAAAGGCCAAAACCTTAGTCAGGTCACCATGAAAACCCTCAAGAGAAGGAGCAAGTGGGCACCCTAAGCTGCCGAGGAGGTTTTGGTGGGGTGGGAATTGGAAGGAGAATTCCATGAGGAGTGGATGGAGACTGTTTCTGGAATGGCTTCAGCATAACACAACGTCTCAAAGAACATGCATGGAGAAGCCTTACACAGCCCAATGGCTTCCAAGTGTGTAAAATCTTAAGCCCCATCATTCTCCTCAAGAAAACACATCACGGCTTCAACTTTGAAGGACCACCCTCTTCCAGATTCTCTTTTTCATCCATGCCTCTCTGTTCTTTGAAGGGTATACTTGAGAGTATAATGAGATGGCCTGGATGATGGACTTAAACAAAGCAGAACAAAGCAAATCCAGGAGGTGACCCTTCAACAATTTCTCAGGGCTACCTCTTTTCCGATCTCACAGTCTCCTGTTCTAGGAAGGAGTTGGGCAAACAAAACACTCTTTCAGAGCTGACGTGCTTTTCCCATGCTTTAAGTCTGAGTGCCTTGGGCAAAAAGGAAGGAAGGACCCCAAATCCATTGGACTTCTCTAGAACTTTCCCCGGTGAGTCCTGAGCTCCAGCAACTGGCCCAATTGACCGGTCTTACCATGGAGGAGTCTGCAGGGGGGGGGGGGGCTCTTTAAGAAGGCGATGGTGGGACCAGGGTTGCTTACCAGGGTGAAAGGTGTGTTCAGGAGGGTGATCAGGATATCAACTGCAGCCAAGTTGACAATGAAAAGGCTGGTGGCTGAGGGCATCCTCTTGTTCTTCAGCACCACGTGGCACACCACAACATTGCCCAAAAGCGAGATGCAAATAATGGTTAAATAAGCCGCGATCAGGAGAGCTTTCACTGTCTGGCTCTGCGATTCCTCTTTGTAACTGGTGTCGAATTCTCCCGTGGACTTTACCTCTAGGTCCTCCTGGAAGGAGGATCGATTGTGGAATGGAAAGAGGGTGGAGTTGGTGCTGTTGGATTTCCCCACCCAACGGAGTGACTTGGACACGTCTGGAGAAGAGAACCACATGTGCCTGTTCATGGCTGGGAGAAGAGAAGGCAACAGAAAAGTTTTCTTCTCTCCAGAATCAAGGGGACCTGGAGGGATGTCCCCCTTCTTCCAATGTCTCCCCTTTTAGTACCTGACCTGATCTGAAGGCTCCTCCAGATTTTTCAGATCCAGCCTGGAATGGTGATTGTTTCCTTCCTCTTAAGTTCCTAGAGTTATAGTTTTCTTTTAATTTCCATTAGATTTGCCTGCTTCCTGTCTCCCCAGAGGTCTTCAAAAGTGTGGAGTTTGCCTTCAGTTCCTCCAGGCTGGTCAGTTTCCCCAGCAATGAAAGCCACAGACGAAGAAGGAAATGCTTAGGAGGCAAGCAAGTCCTTTCCCAGGTTTTCTCCTTCCACGTCCTGTTGCTCGGAAGCCAGGCTGGGCTGGACGCCTGCTCTGCCTTAGGTGTATTTGCAGCTGTGCGGATGTTATGCTGAGCAACACGAGCAGTGCAGTGTTCTTTGCCACTTCTTTCCAATCCAAGCTACAGGGGGAGAGAAAGAGAGAGTTAGTTGCAAGAAAGCCGTTCCAGAGCTATTGCTGGGAGCTGCTTGATGGATAACATCAATCTGGCAGACAAACCTCCTTTAAAGGCTGGCTCCCCCTCCTCTCTTTCCAGCATTTGCATACAAGCCCCAGGGAGGAATTGTTTGTGCTCTTTATCCACAGCTGGCACCAGCATGAATACAGAGATCAGAAACAGGTGGGGGCAACAGAAATGCCCGTGAGGGAATGCTAGATCAAAGAGGGAGGTGTGTGTGGGGAGGCTGTTTCTTCTAAGCCTTTTGTTGGCAAAGATCTTGCAGGTCGCATTGTGGTCCACCAGAGAAAGCTCCCTTCCCTTGCTCCAAAGGATTTGGGAATCAGGAAGAACTTAATCCAAGACCACCATAAATCCCAACAGTCTACAGCTGGGTCACAGCTTTGATCCAGCTTTTTCAAAAGCCAGAATCTACCCTCCCTCCCCCATTCAAGAGGCAGCTTCATCTAAATGCCCTTGCTTAAATCTCTGAACACTTTCTACCCCCCCAAAAAAAAACCTAGTTGAGAAGGCATATGACGCCCCCCCCCCCCGCAGTCCCTGGTTTTATCAGTTGTTAAATTCAAATTTTTTTACTACCGGTTCTGTGGGTGTGCCTTGGTGGATGTGGCAGGGAAAAGATACTGCAAAATCCCCATTCCCTCCCCACTCTGGGGCCAGCCAGTGGTGGCATTTGCCTGTTCTCTGAATTACTAAAAAATTTTGCTACCTGTCAGAACCTGCTGGATTTCATCCCTGGGTTTTATTTGCTAAGAACTATCGCTTTATGAGACAAGAGCTGGATGGGAAGGGACTATGTGCATGTTGCTGGGAAGTGTTTACCATTTCTCAACCATGGCAATTTGAAGATGGGTGGATTTCAACTCCCAGAATTCCTCAGTCAGCTAAGCACATTTGCTTTATGGAGGCAGGAAGTCGATGTGGTGTTTTGGTTTTTTTGCCATGCCTTGAGCCTTCAAAAGTCATTTTGGTGAAAGTGATGCTCTCTCAAATTACCAGTTGAACTACAATGTGAGGTGGGAGCCTAACATCCAGAAAATCAACACAGAGGCCCAAGGAAGCTGTGTGCATTTACCCATGTACATGTGCAAGGAGAGTGGGAAGGAACCTCAGAGGTCATCTAGTCCCCCCACCACCACCCAAGCTGGCGAACCTTTTTGTAAAGGCGAGGCAAAATTTTGTGTGTGTGTGCTGTTGAATGCTTGTGCGTGCCCACACCCACAATTCAATGCATCCCGCCCACCTGCTCATGTACGCACAACCCCTGCCATATGGGGGGGGAGAGTTTTTACCCTTTCAGGCTCCAGAGGCTTTTCTGAAGCCTGGGGAGGTGAAAACAGCCTCCCCCAGCCTTCCGGAAGGCCAGGAATCAGCTGGCTGGTGTGTGCATGCATGCCACAGCTGACGGCTCGCGTGCCAGGAAATATGGCTCCACAGGTGGTATGTGTGCCATAGGTTCACCATCATGGCCCTACACCATTTTTGACAGATGGCAGTCCAGTCGCTTCTTGAAAGCTTCCAGTGATGAAGCTCCCACAACCACTGAAGGCAACTTCTGTTCCATGCGTTGATTGTTCTCACTGTCAAAAAATCCCTTCTTATTTCTAGGATGAATCTCTCCTTGTTCAAGAGAGAGAGAGAGAGAGAAAGAGAGAGAGTTCTGGGATGAGAAAACTCTTCAGGCAGC